GCGTTTGCGGAACAGCCCTGCCTTGTTCGACCCCTTCCCCGGATGTGTTCTCTCAGTGCTTCGCTCGTCGGGGTGCTCTTTTATAAGGGCGTTTGTTGTGCTGCCCTCCTCTTCAGTGCGCTGGAAGTCTGGTTCGCCCCCGGCCGCAGGCCGCAGAGGAGGGCCAGGACTCAGGAGGGGAACAAAAACACACACAGACACAATTCATCGGCGACTCCCAGAACATATGGGAAACTATGGGAAGAAGTGGGGGGGAAGACAGAGCCCAGAAACTATGGGAAAATAGGGGGATATGTTTATTTGTGTGTATTTCTTTGTGTGTCCCAGCTCCCCTTCACAGGACGACAGCGAGGGGGCGGACGGGGAGGAGGACGACGAGGGCCCCAGCGCGGGCGCGGGCGCTCCCGCGGAGGGGCCGCCTCTCGCCGCGCGCCCCGCGGCCTCGGACGTGGGCGGCCACGCCGAGGAGGAGGAGGAGGAGGAGGAGGAGGACATGGTTGGAGTCGAAGAATAACAGACAAACGCCATAAACATAAACTCTTGGCGCTCCGCGCGGCTTTCTCGGACCCGCGCCGGGCCCCCCAGACGGCGCCTCCTGCGCCGCCCCCGGCGCGCTCCGCGCGCCGAAGAGGGGGTCCAGCGCAGATCCAAGGCAGCCGCGCGGAGCGCCAAAAGTGTATGCTCATGCCTTTCTTCTCCTGCGCCTGGCATCGCTCGGACGTGTGTATTCTTCTCTCGGCGAGAACCATCGAGGACCATCCTGGACCATCGAGCAAAAAAAAGACGCACGAAACCGAAAAATGCACGGGAAATGGACGTCCGAGCGATGGCAAGTGTGGAGGCCATGGATATCTGACGGCTCGTGCCGCGTCGACGCGGCTGCGGCCCCAGCTCGGGCGTTCCAGGTTGAACGCCGCCGGTCGCCAGGAGTCGGCCGGTATGGGGCGATGGGGCGATGGAAGAGCCGCCAAGCGCTGAAGGTTGAACGATCCGCGCGGCGTCAGAAACCAACGCCGGGGTCGTCACGGCACAAGCTTGCCGTAGGGCTCCCAGGTGGGGTCCGAGAGGACGGTGTCGGAGGGGCGCGCCGATCGCTGGGTGATGCGGCTCGAGGTGGAGCCCGACTTGCCCCACGCCGACGTCCCCGATGTATCGGCAATGCACCTACTCCAGATTTCGTAATAAAGGGAGGGGGGTCTCATTCCGGGGGGGGTCTCTTCCAGGCTATCTTGGAGGGCCTGGGGGGTCTGGGGACGATGTTTTGGAGGGTTCTCCCACGGGGGAGGGTCTGAAATGGCTTGTCTTGGAGGGTCCAGACCCCCTCCCTTTTATTACGAAATCTGGAGCACTCGGACTCCATTGGGAAGCCTCTAGGAGGGAGGGGGAGGATGGAGGGGGGAGGGAGGAGGGAGGAGGGAAGAGGGAGGCGGGAAGGAGGATGGAGGAGGGAGGCGGGAGGAGGGAGGAGGGAGGAGGAGGGAGGAGAAGAGGAGGGAGGAGGAGAAAGGAGGAGGGAGGAGGAGAAAGGCACACGCTGGCGGTGGCACACAAGGGGGCGGCCCTCCAACTTAGACCTCCAACGCACGGAACACAGCTCACCAGCGAGGCGCCCCAGCAGCAGCAGAGGCGAAGAGGCGGGTCGAGGAGGAGGAGGTCGGCAAGAGGGGACAGGGGCGAGGGCACGGCACGGCCATGTGCACCTTAGGCCCCAGAGATGCTGACCGTCAGGGCCCAACATGTAGCCGCCACTGAGGCAAGAGAGCGGTCTCTGAGCACACTGGGGAGGCAGTCTCTGGCGAAGCCGCCGCCGCATCGCCTCCGGACCCAGCGGCCTCGGGCGCCCCGCCCTCCTTGTGGGGCTCTTCCCTTCTGTTGACCCGGGATCAGAGCCCTCAAGCGAGACGCTGGTATGGAAGTGTTCAAGGCGGAGGGCTTCTGCAGTCTTCTCAGGAGGGGAAAAAACACACAGACACAATTATTCGTCGATGCCCCAAAAATATGCGAAACTATGGGAAGTGGGGGGGAAGACAGAAATCAGAAAATATGGGAAAATACGGGGGATCCTTTTATTTGTGTGCATTTATTTGTGTGTCCCAGGGCCCCTTCAGTATGGAAGTGTTGAAGGCGGAGGGCTTCTGCAGTCTTCGGCCTCCGGGGGGCCCTCGCGGGGCCCAGGGGCCGTCACCAGAAGCGCTCGGGACGAGGAGCTGGTCCCGGGCAGAGGGCGGGGCTCCCGCGGCACACGCATGGCAAACGCCAAGGCGTCGGATGTCTGCCTCCTTCCCCTCCCTGCGTTGGATTTATAGTTTTGGCCATATAGTTTTGGCCATTTAGACCATAGGGGATATATAAACCAACACTTACTAAGAGCACTGGTGCGCGTGACGACCGATTGTGGCAACCACGCTGCCAAGCTGCCGATTTCGAGCCAGAGTGGACTGGATTACGGCGTCGCGTATCGTCCCCTCAGCTTTCCTCCTTCTCCTCCCAAAATGTGCGCTGGAAAAAAAAAGGCGTCGGATGTCTGGGGATAATTAGGGTGATGTCGGGTCTGTCCTCCAACAGGCGGGCCTGGGAAGAAAAATAGAAAAGAGTCAAACAACATTCAAGCATGGTCGACACGAGTAGAAAAAAACGTCCCCAGGCTATTTGTTGACTGTGTGTTGAGTATTCCTCCTGTAGAGGGACATGCCCGACTTCAGAGCAGGGCGGTGATGGAACTCTTTGAGGGCAGGGGCTTGCGTGGCTGGCCCCGGGAGGCTCTGCAGGAGGCTTCTCAAAAGCTTCTCAAAAGCCGGACGGGCCTCCGTCACCGAGCGCGTTCCACCACTCGCAGAGTGCCTGCTCGCAAAGGTCCGAGAAACCCGTGTGCTTGCCTCGGTGTCACATGTCGTGAATCCCCCGCGGCAGATCCAGGCCACTTGCGAGCAGCTGCGTTGCGAGCAGTGGGACGCGCTTGTCTATGTTAGGAAGCCCCCCTGTCCTCTTGGAAGCCCCGTCGCCTCCCTGGTAAGCCCACCCCCCTTTCGCGCTACCCCCCTCGCGGGCGCTGCCACGCGCAAGCATGGCAGGCAGCCGCACGTGAGCCCTGAGCTCGAGGAGGCGTGACCACTGATTAAGGCGCGTGGATTAGCGTTAAGTCGGGCCTGTCCCTCTACAGGAGGAATTTCAAAAAATGATAAAACAATGGTCTGGGGACGACTTTTAGAGGATCTGTGCGCATTTCCTTTTTATCTTAAAAATGCCTATGTGTGATTTTTCGTCCAGAATCCGCCTGTAGGAGGACACGCCCGTCCTAAGATTAGCGATTAGCGATAGGCCCCGTCTCCGTACAGAGTCGGCGCGCTCGGTCGCCAAATCGGGCGGCATGGCCTCATGGGCGTCAATTCGCCAGATCCACGCAGTCGTAGACGATCGACGCGTGCCCGATACACCACTGCCCGCCGGGTTTCTGCCGTACCCGGCGGAGGCTCTGGCCTCATGAGATGCCAGCGGCAGGGTGGAGCCCAGCGGGATCAACGATTATCCCAGACGTCCGACGCCGTGTTCCTGTTCGCAATGTGGCTCCCTGGAGGTCTGGATCTTTTCCCCGGGATCAGCTTCTCATCCCGAGTCACTTTTCGACGGCCCCAGGGCTCGGTGAGCGACCCCAGGAGACCGAGATGGCCGAACGCACCACCGTCGTGACTCTGTCGCAGCGAAGAGGTGGGGGAACTCAGCGTCGACCGGACCCGAAGGGGGCAGGGCCCACAGGCGGCCGCGAGCGTAGGCTCACGACGTCCGCGGGCGGCAGATTTCCTCTGGGCGCCGCAGCCCGCAGCGGTGCCTTCGGCAGCTGCCCCCCGCTGCGCAAAGCGCGCTGGGGAGGACACGGGGGGCTGTTCGTGTCGGACGAATCGGGGGCGACAGGGGAAGGGGGGGATACTCCAGGCGTCCTGGCAGGGGCCAGAGTAGATTGTGTCGGGGGATCGTGCCGCATCGCCGAGATTCGATTTGAACGGGTGCCCGGGCCCCCTGGCGGCGCCTTCGGCGCCGCCCCTGGCGCGTTCCGCGCACCGGTCCAAGGAATCTGCGCGGACCTCCGAAAGTTTATGCTGAATCAGTTGTTGGTTCCTCTACGCAGGGGTCGGAAATAGGCCTCCGCCTCCGCCTCCGCCCCCTCCTCCTCCCCCTCCTCCTCCTCCTCCTCCTCCTCCTCCTCCTCCTCCTCCTCCTCCTCCTCCTCCTCCTCCTCCTCCTCCTCCTCCTCCTCCTCCTCCTCCTCCTCCCCCTCCTCCCGGAATACGAACCCTGCTGCGTGCATCTGCTTTCGGCCCCGCCGTCGGGCAGCGTTCCTCCATCCACGGGCGACTCCCAGCGCCGGGAGGCGTCAGGAGATCCGGCTGCGTAAGCTGCTCCGCCGACCCCCGCTTTGCTATCCCCTTCTTTTTCTCAGGAGGGGAAACAACACACAGACACAATGAATCGTCGATCCCCAGGAAAACATGGGAAAATATGGGAAGTGGGGGGAGGATAAAGACCCAGAAAATATTGGAAAATATGGGGAATCCTGTTATCTGTGTGTATTTACTTGTGTGTCCCAGGCTCCCTTTATTTTCGTCCGACCCAAGCTGTGGGGGCATGAGGTCTGGCGCCGGGGCACATCTGCCGCCGGCGGACGCCAGATGTTCGCGTGTGTGCGCTTTTGCTCGTCCCCTCAAGGGAGGGTGCTCCAAAGCGAACGCCAACTGAGGATGGGACCATCTGAGTTCGACTCCGGGTGTATATACAGATCCGCCAGGCCAGGCGGACCTCGCATTTCCCTGACCTTCCAGGAGGGCTAAAAAATAGCACCAGGACCTCGACATCTTATTTCCTGTCGAGGTTTTAGGCAGTCCAGATCGGTCCATAGGTCTGGAGGGCTATTTTTTAGCACTCTGGAAGGTCAGGGTTCCCACCCAGACCCAGAGCGCCCCGCCCTCTCTTTTGGTTTGCCGAGGGCCCCCCTCCTCCCCATAAAGGAGGGCGAGGGAGCGGAGGCGGAGGAGGAGCAGGTGTGCGAGGTGGCTCTGCTCGAGGCCGGCGCGAGAGAGCAGGACGAGGAGGCAGAGGAGGAGGATCGGCCCACGTAAGTCGGGGGTGGACAGACCTCCTACTCTGACACGTCGATTAAGGAATTGGCCCTTTTCGGTTCGCGAGGGGGCGTCGCGGCCGTCATTTTTGCGGGTCCAGGTCCGTCGGTTTCGGCCCCAGGCCGTTTTCACTAAGGGGAGGTGTCTACTAAAGGGAGGTTTGTCCACCGCCGAGTAAGAGTGACCCTTCGCCGGAGTGGCCTTTGGTGCAGGCCCGTCGGTATCCCCTGAGGCTCGAACGCCTTGCAGCAGCAGCGTCGTGCGCGCTCGGGTTTGCCGCCCCCCCCCCCCCCGCGGCGCCTCGAAGGCCGCGCGCCAAGGGTCGCTCCTGCCCGGGGGCACCCTCTCGTGCAGCCGAGAGTCGGGGGCGGAAAAGAGGGGGGTGATGACTAGGGGGGGGTGGATTTCATGGCGCGGGCCATGATTTTTCCTCAGATTCTCCAGGCTCACGCCACATCCGCCGACCCCTTGATTCGTACCGGCGGCTATCGCCGCGTTTCCGCCTTCACTGCTCGTAGCTGCCAGGCGTTACAGTGCAGTGGCAAGTGCCAGAAGAAAAGATTGAGAGGCATGGCAAAGCGCATGGAAAAAAAAACGGAAGAGGAGTAGTCGGAGGTGGAGGAGGACGAGTGGAACGGAACGGAGGATGGCAGGCGTTCGGGGGGAGGGCAGAGTCTCGAACGGGCGGGGCCGGGTGGAGTCGGAATACCGCCAGCGTCGAGCGCGACGCGCGGTCTTTGCGAGGCGGAATCGACAATGAAAACTGTGGCGCCCTCCTCGGTTCCGACGACTCCGGGTGGGCATGCTGAGGTGTTGGGCAACAAGAGAGAGTTGTGTGATGGGTCTGAACCCGTGGGTAGTAGCTCTGAGACTCTGCACTTGGCGGGAGAGGCGCCGAGCGCCGACTGCGGAAGATCGGCAAAAAAGACGCGGTTCGAGGACGCCGTGGCGTCGACGACGGAACGGAGCATCGCGGCCCCCTCGGGAAAGGGTCCGGTGTCAGGGGGCATCGCGGGAAGTGCCGCTACGGCGGCGGTTCGCAAAGCAGATGCGACGCCGAGCGCCGAAAGCGGCGCGACGAGAGGCAGCGCGCCGGCGAGTGGGTCGGCGCACGGCGGGCTGGACGCCGGGGGAATGCCATCATCCCCGCCGCTGATGGGCCTCGGAGGGGTCGCCGTACGCGGGCGACGGAGAGGCGGCGTCGACGGCGTTGGCACCGGAAATCGGACAAGAAACAAAGCGCTCGTGGCAGCATGGGGCGGGGAAGGATGCGCCGACGGGCCAGATTGCGGCGGTCGATGCGGGGGCGACGGTGCAGTCGAAGACAAAGGAGCACGAACCGAGCGACAAGACCAGAGAGTGGTCGGTGCCGACTCCACAGCACGCGTGCCCGGGCACGCGCCCTGCGGGACGGAAGGACAGGTCAAGACGCAAGCGGGCAACTGCGGAGACGAGATCCCCGAGGCGGATGCGATGCAACAGGCTTTCTACAACGTTCGCGTAGACGAAACATCGAGAGATCCACGACGGGCCAGGGAAATCCTCGTGGCAGCTGCTGCGGCCGGTGTGCGGCGTCACCCAACCGCGCCCGCGGATCCAGACGACCCCGCGCAACCACGGGCGCAAGCTCTGGCGGAGGACATGGCCGTGGAGTTGCCAGTCGTGCACTGTGCGTTCGTGGGGTGTACGTGGCAGTCGGATTCAGCAGACGACTTGTGCGGACACGTCCGCGAGGTGCACGGTTCCGTCGTGCTGCCCATCGCCGAACTAATTCATCCAGCGGACCAGGACGAGGACCTCCGTATCACGGCGGCGTACAATGCAATCGTTGCACATGCTGTTCGGGGTGGCGCGCCGCTAGCGGCATACTCCTTGCACAGACGGAGCCTGGCCATGTACGCGAAAGCAACGCAACAGAAGAGCATCGCGTCTCCAATTTGTTTTCTGTGCGCCTGCACGTTTCCTTGGGTGGAAGGTAGGCGGGGGAACCAGATTGCTTGGGGGCAACCGTTTAAGGCAGCCGTGGGGGACCCGACGCGGGTCATTCGGTTTGGTGAGTGGGCTATGACGGAAGTGCAAGCGCGGTTCAGCGTCGACGCGTACCTGCGGGACTACTGTCACGAGCCAGGGAACAGCGCATTGGACCTCGAGGAGGCGTGGTATCGGGAAGACTTCACGGACTGGCTTGTGAAAGTGTCGACACCGGGCGGTGAAGTGCTAATTCTGTGTTGCCCCGAAGATCAGCGATGCCAGAGGGGGTGCCGGGGGAAGGGAACCGCGCGTCCCGAATGCGAAGTGCCTCTTTGCGAGGAGTGCAAGGTAGAAGTGAAAACGCCATACCGGTGGCGAGCTTCCGCGACCCCGGCGGTCCCGCGCCGGAGTCTTGCGAACGACTGGATGGCGTTCTATCCGCCAGATCGCATGTACGTCGAAGGCATGACGGTGATGGAGATGATTTGCTGCAGCCCTTGCATCACGTCGACGATTTGCTTTTCTTTGGAGGTGAAGTATCAGAGCGACCAGGGAAGCGGCACGGGCAGGGAGAACCTGTTTGACAGCGCCGCAGGGTTCCACGACGGGCGTCTGGCGGCGCGCGGGAATGCTACGAGCTTCTTGTTGCCGCGGCAGGGGATATTACGAGAGCTCCGTCAGCTCGAGAAGGAAGGGCGCCAGGGCGGCGACTCGGCGGTGCCGATCGTGGGTGAGAAGTTGGGGTCTGTGGCGCAGATCCTCCTGAAAATCAACGACGCCACCAGTAAGGACAACTTGCCGCGTTTCATCCATCAGGCGAATGTGCGGCGCGAAGTTGTGAAGCGCCACATCAAGATGATGAACACCGCGGGCGCCGAGCTTTCGCAAACGTCAACTTGGAGGCGATGGAGAGAAAGGCGGATCAGTTGCCGCGGGACGGCGTGCCGCGGGAGATTGTCCGGCTGCTGCCGCACGACGCAACGTTGGACAAACTTATGGTGCAGAAAAATGCGACGCCCTGTGATGGGGCGCGAGATTCGGTGGGAGCGGCTGCGCGCGACATGGACTTGCGCACGCCGAATGCCGTCATGATGGAGAAGTCGTCGGTGGACGAAGTGGATGCGAACAGGTTGAGGCAGGGTGCGTTTGAACATGTGTCGGGCAGGTCGCGCGGAGGGCGCGGATCTCCAGATGCAGGCGCAAACGGAGTTGTTGAGTCAGGTGCATTGGGCGTTGCAGCGAAGAGCTTCGCACTGCGTCTGGCAAGTACGTGGACAGGCAGGTGCGACAGACCCGAGTGTCCGTGCGGCGGGGAGAGAGACGAGCGCGCTCTGGCGAGGACGTGCAGAATGGGAGACCGTGCGGCCAACGTTGATATGACGACACTGCAGTTTCGGCTCTGGGAGATGCTGGAAACGGACGCGACCCGCATTCGTTACGTGGTTTATCCGGGGCGCGCAATGATGAATCAGTTTGTTCCATGGTTCTTCGGTGTGGCATTCCCGTTTTGTTTCAAGTACGGAGTGGGGATGCCGGACATGCCGGAATGGCAAGAGAATGCGCGACACCGACGTGGGCCGGCGGCGCCCCGCGTGGAATTGGCTCTGTGGGCGCGCATCATGACGCGTCGGGTGGAGTCTCAATTCCGGCGTGAGTGGCGGTTCGGCTTCACGCAGTCGTCGGTATTGTTTCAAAGTTCCGTGAATATGGCCCGGTCAGTTCGCTTGGCGGACTACAGGAAGGACGGAGAGACGGAATGCCGATATTCGCAGGGAGAACTGGAGAAGGCAGCTGTGAGCATCGTCGATGCTTTGTATGGTACATACAAGGATCCGTCCACTGGGAAGTCCACGAACGTGCGTGGAGATTTCTCTAAGCTAAAGTTTGTGCAGTCGCTCGACCCGATAGCCAGACGATTGGCTGCAGGGGCCAGTGCGGTCGCTCGGAAGATTGAAGGGACGAACGAGGTGCGGACGCTCATGAGATACGACACGCATGCGGCTCGAATCGCACATGGGGTGCCGTTATTTTTCACCATGTCTCCGGACGAGCGGCACAACCTGGTCATGGTGCGGTTGTCGCGATCGCGAAGAAAGGACCCAGTGAATCGTCGTGCTGCGCGGGAACTCCACGGCCCCACGCACGGCGGGTTGTGGGAGCCGTCGTTGGCGCACGCGCCAGAAATATCAGGAGATGCGGCCGCGGGGCCGTGGCGCGAGGAGGCGGGCCAGAATGGACCAGGCGCCGAGGGGGCACAGGATGACGACGACGTGAACATGGGAATCCCTCTGGAGATGTTGGCGGATGCCGTGCCCGCGTCGGGCGAGAGAAGGGCAGTGCTCGCCCGGGACCCGCTGGCGGGCGTTGACGGATTTCGCGTCATTGTGGGCCTTGTATTTGAGTACATACTGGGGATGCGGTATTGCGCGAAATGCCCAGATTGTGATTGCGCGGATTTGCTCGGCAGCAACGCTACGGCGGCGGGCGGGTGCTTGGGCCGAGTGGACGGGGTGTGCGGCAGCATTGAAGCTCAGAAGTCGGCTGGCAGTCTTCATCTGGACGTGCAGGTCTTCGTGCAATGCTTGCACCAGCACGCGCCGTTGCACGAACTGGTCCGGCTGCCGCCTGACGTGCTGAAGAGGCTGGTGGAGGAGTACAAGGCGTGCAAGAGAAACGCGAGTCGTCAGGAGTACGCAGACGTAGAAGGATGGAGGGGAAGGAAACAGGAGGTCGAAAAGGCGTGGCCCACGTACCGCGAGACGACGGATCTGGTCGCAGCGCCGGAGTACCTACACAGAGGACGAGCTGGTGGGTTGGGAGAGACGGAAGGAGGCAGTACGAAAGCCACGAGCGGCCTGACCCCGTGCGTTTCTGATTGTGTTGCAAGAGAAAATGGGGAGGAGGAAGGTGAGGATGGGCGGTCGTGGTTGCAGGAGTACCTGGGCGCGCGGGTGCAAAAGGGTCAGGAGTTTCGTCAGAACCACGTGCACCAATGGAGTAAGCGTTTGCAGCGC